ATTTTATATCAATGGACAGAAAAACGCTTATGATTTAGTTTTAATTGTGTAATTTGTTAAGTTGGTGTGAAAAATAAGAAATAAAAAGTACTTAAAGTAACGGTAAATATTCTTAAATCCATACTTTAATGTATCGTCTTTTAACATACGAAAATATAGGTAATGGATTTTGACAAGAGCTCTGACCTTGTAAATAACAGGTAAACTTGTGTACTGTATCGGCATGACTTATAGCTCTTGTCATGATCCATTACCTCTATATCTTAACAGATAATATCTAGACAAGTATTAATAGAAAAACGATAGAATTGCGTCTTCTTTTCTAGTTGAATACACACTAAAACGATAATGCACAATTTATGCAGTATTGCCAAGTGCCTAAAAATCTCATGCTTACTCTTAGACGGCTGACAGATCTTACTCTACATCAGTCTACTCATTGCAAATCCGTTTCAGATACAGGTCGAAATAATCATGCCCTTGAGTATCTCTCACGTTTTCTGCTTCCCACTATTCTGTTCGCTGCGGGTACAAGATTGGAAAAACTTAGCACAAGATAGAAAGAAATGGAAGAAAACCGTTGAAGCCTTGGGCCTTTGAGGCCTGTTGAGCTGAACTATATATACTATTCTGTTCATCGCCAATTATTCGTAATTTTTTAGCCATCAGATCTCTCGGTTGTAGCCAATCTAACACTGCCGTCACCTTCGGATTGCGCATAACTCATTTTTTGGGATAAAGATGTAAGCCCTAATATTCAATGAGTATACGAACAAACTTTCCAGAATTTTTATTGACTAACATACACTGTCAACGAAGGTGATGACAGTGTTAGATTGGCTAAAACCGAGGGATCTGATGGCTAAAAATTTACGAATAATTGACAACGAACAGAATAGTGGGAAGCAGACAACGTGAGAGGTGCTCAAGGGGCATGGTTATTTCGGCCTGTATCTGAAACGGATTTGCAATAAGTTGACTGATGTAGAGTAAGACTTGTCAGTCGTCTAAAAGTAAGCATGCGATTTTTAGCCATAAATTTTGCGTTATCGTTTTAGTGTGTATTCAACTAGAAAAGAAGACGCAACTCTATCGTTGTTCTATTAATATTTGTCTATATATTATCTGTTAAGATATATTTTCAGCTCTTTCGTCTTCTAATATCTATAAATCGGCGATATTTCCGGGTACGACAATAATACGTAAACTTTTTCATCCAAAGAGACACTCGTATTTCTATCAGGCCAAAGCGACTGCCTCTCTTTTTGCCGGCCAACATGCCTTGACTAGTTTTTTCTAGTTTGTATGGTCCTTCACTTATACTTTCCAGTCTCTTGTTCTCATTTCTTCTATGTCGGTCCGGACGGCATTAAACCACTTCTTTCGTGATCTCCCTCTTCTTTTCTTCCCTTGTTCTTCTGCTTGCAAAAGTATTAGGACCTTTTTTTTCTTTTGCCATTCGTAAAACATGTCCCAGCCATCTAACTCTCTATGCTCTAATTTTCTGCATTATTTTGAGTCCCTTATAAATCTCCATGAGCTACTGATTTATTCTTCTGCGCCATTCCGAATTAGCTTCCTTTATGCCACAAGTTTCACATACATAGAATACTGTCGGTCTCACTTTAGTTTCATAAGTTCGAATTTTGGCTGCCTGGATACTTTAACAATGCGTTTCATGATTCACACACGTGGTTTTTTCTTAATTTACAGTCAGGCCATATTTTTTAGTTTCTTCTTCATATATTGTAAACATTTTTCGAAGTTCCATTCTTGAACGTGACAGAAATACCAAGCCATCTGCGAAACCTATGTATTGTTGTCTTTTGTTAAAAATAGTGCTCTGGTCTGCATCTTGGCTCCTCTAATTTTTTTTCTAGTAATGAATAAAGTAACTGTTAGCCAAAATATTTTTTAGTGCCGGTTCCTTATGTAGCTCATTTTTTTGTGAAAATAATTTTAATATTTTTTCATATTCTTAAATTTTCCAGACCTGAATCAAGTTAAATATGTATGAGATATGCATAAATCTTTAATTTAAAACTTCTTCTTCTTCTTCTTCAGCCTTCATTTATCCAATGTTGGACATAGGCCTCCTCCAATTGCTTTCACGCTTCCCTATCTTTTGCAATTCTCATCCACTGCTTTCCAGCTACAGCAGTTATATCGTATATCCATCTCTTTTTAGGTCTTCCCACACTGGTTTTTGTTTCTCGAGGTCTTCAGAATGTCAGTTTATGAGACCATCTGTTGGTGTCTTGTCTTGCTACATGTGCTACCCATTGCCATCTCAATGTCGCTATTTTTTCCATGATGTCGGTTACTTTAGTTCTTCGACGTATTTCGGTGTTAGGAATTTTGTCTCTGAGGCTTATATTTAACATGGCTCTCTCCATGGCCCGTTGAGTTACTCTTAATTGTTCTTCCATTTTTCTTGTTATTGCCATAGTTTCCAATCCATAAGTGGCAACTGGTAGTATACAAGTGTCAAGTTTTTCGTTTTAAGTGAATTGGGATTTTTCTGTCTTTTAAAATGAAGCTCAACTTACCAAAAGCAGCCCATGGCAATTGTGTCCTTCTTTTAATTTCTAGGGTTTGATTTTCCTGTTCATATATATATATATATATATATATATATATATATATATATATATAATATATATATATATATATATATTGTTCTACCTTTTGTATATTGATGTTATCTATCGTAATGTTTTCTAGGCTGTTGCTTAATATCTTTGTTTTGTCGAGATTCATTTTTAATCTTATTTGATTCGATTTGTGAGTTAAATCTTGTAGCATTGATTTTAGTTCATGGATATCTGTGCTTACTAGTACTATGTCGTTTGCAAAACGCAAATGGTTAAGATATTCTCCATTTATTTTTAATCCATTTTCGGCCCAATTTAGTTTTTTGAAAACATTTTCTAATGCCAAAGTAAATAACTTGGGTGAGATGGTGTCGCCCTATCTCACACCTTTGCCAAGGTCTATTTTCATAGTTTCCAGATCATCATCTATTTTTACGTGAAAAGTAGCATCATCGTATATATTCTTAAGGAGGGCAGCATATCTTGAATCTACTCTGGCGTCGTCCAATGCTGTTAAGAAAGCCCATATCTCGATATTGTCGAATGCTTTGTGATAATCGACAAATGCCAGATGTAGTGGTATGTTGTACTCTATTGTTTTTTCAATAACTGTCCGGATTGTTTGCAAGTGATCGATAGTGCTAAAACCCTTACGAAAGCCTGCTTGCTCCAGTGGTTGGTATGCATTTAGTTTAGCTGTCAATCTATTTGTTATTATTCGGGTTAGTAGTTTGTAAAGGTGTTACAATAAGCTTATTGGTCGGTAGTTTTCTATATTTGCGGCGTCCCCTTTTTTATGGAGTAGAATGGTGTTTTCCCATTTTTCATTTGTTTTAGGGCGGCTCTAATTTCTGATGTTATTATTTCAGGGAAGTCCTCTGAGCCCACATTTAAGATATGTTTTGTTGGTATACCGGGGTTTGGAATAGTAGAAGTATACAGCTTCTCATAAAATTTTCGGATTTCTCTACCGATCTCTTCCTTAGGCGAGCACAATGTTCCACGGTCGTCTTTTATCTTTATGATTTTATTCCTGCCAGTGGATTTACATGTTTTTAGTACTTTCATGTTCTTATTGTTTTCTATGGTTTCAAGAATCTGGTTTGTTCTATGAGCTCTGAGGTCTTTTCGAATATTTCTGTTAATGCTTCTGTTGAGCCCTTTATAGTCCGGGTTATCTCTGTTCGTTCTTCTTCTTTTCTCTATCTGTTCTAGAGTTTCGGGTTTTAGTTTAGCTTCCTTTTGCTTCTCTTATTCTGCAACAAAGTTTCTTAGTGACTGTTTGTATGTATTTAGTTATTTTCTCAGCTAGTTCATCTATATTCTTGTGCTCAAAGGTATTTGCTACTAGTTTCCGTGCTAATTCCTCTTGGTATTTCTCTGGCTCCTATTACTGGCTAGGATGTCTGCCGTCGGTAAAGGGTTTGTTGTTAATAGTTTTAGTCTTTCTCTCTTTACGTTAATACGTTTATCAGCACGAACTAGTCTATGGTCACTGCCGGTGTTAAATTTGTTCAACACCTCGATGTTTTTACATATTGATCTATCACTGGAAATGATAAAATCTATTTCATTCTTAACCTGACCGTCAGGGCTACCTCAAACGTTAAAACTATTGGTTTTTAATTTTAATTTGGGTAATTGCAGAAATAAATTTTTTTTAATGTCATTTAACTTTTATTTCAGTTATTTTACATATAAATCATTAGTAAATATTTTAAAAAAACAATACATAAAACATTAAATTTTTCCAGAGAATATTTATACTTTTTCGAACTATCCCTAGATATTGTTAATACGTGTACTTTACAACACGTCACTTGATTACATCCCAGTAATCATTTTTTACTTCTACCCCATACACGTTCATCTGTTTCTTTATTGATTTATAGTAGATTGATATTAGATACTTGAAATTATGACTGTTTAAAATAATTTCAGCATCTAAAGATATCATTTTGTTTATATTTATTTCATTTTAAAACAAACCTTCTAGGCTTTCATGACTAGTGGTTTATAGGGATATATTTTTTCACGTTTAAGGATCAAAGTCTAAAATTGCTTTAAGACTGTTACGTCTGCGGCAGTTATCAAGAGAAATGCGCCAATGGTTGTATCTTTCTTTTCCATCTAAGGGTGCTTACCTATAAACCCAAAAAACAATAATTTGGTCTACTAATTTTTAAACCTTTTTCTGTCATACAATACCTATGTTTTTATTTTGTAATAAAACCAACGTAATTCCACCAAGATCCACATTGTCATGCAATTTAATCATATTTTGTCATGGAATTTACACAGATCTGACGTCTTGGGTTATATTTAGGTTTAAGCTATATTTTTATATGCAGTTTAAAATCGCAAAACATTTCAGTTTGGTATTTATAGTAATCATTAAAAGTCTCTTAAAACTTAATATTTTTTACTATTTAAAATAAGCTTTTGATTAAGATTTATAACCTCTTTTACATATCTACAGTCCGTTAGTTCAATAAAATCAGCTATTATAATATTAAGACCATTTGCACCAGGCGTTTGATTTTCAATCCAGTTCGATCTGGGTTCTTCTAATTTTATTCCACACGATTTTTTTAGGGAACCTAAAACAAAAAATACATTATGTAATATTTTTGTATCTACATGAAACACAAATCTACGGGAGAACCTTTGAGGTCTCTTTCAACCTGGTAATGAGCAACATAGTGTGGCAAATTACTCCAACTGGGCTCTGGTAAATACAACAGAAAGCTAAACTAAAAATTCACCAACTTGTCTGGCTAGAGTAAGGTCAAATTATTACCTTTATGTGTCTATGTAATAATAGCAGACAGAAGTCTTTTTGCTAAAAAAAGGGTGGGGTAGATGGCAGGAACACTGAGACCCAAAACTTTAAATGACAATAACTCTGTTATTAAATACTACTTTAAATTTATATTGTACCTCTATATTAGGTATATGAACAAGAAAGGAAAATCATGTCGGTTTTTTTTATCAAAACTAAAGTTGACACATCAAAAATATTAAAACTAAAAATTACTAAATGTCTCACTGTTCCTGTTAATTTTGGAACACTGAGACGCAACAATTAACATTATTTATGTCTTTTTTTGGCACCAGAAGATGGTCACCGCACTACAAAGAGTAGGATTGGATGAGAAGGACATTCGGATCATCATGAATTTATACTGGAACCAGCGTGCTCAAGTTAAGGTCGAAGACCAGCTGACCAACCAAGTGAAGATCATGCGAGGAGTAAGGCAAGGATGTGTGCTATCGCCGACTCTTTTCAATATATACTCTGAGGAGATTTTTAATGAAGCCCTCACAAACCTAGACATGGGAATCCGAGTGAACCCGTGAATACATCAATAATATCCGCTACGCCGATGACACTGTGTTACTAGCAACCAGCCTAAACGATCTGCAGGCCTTACTAGACCGAGTGCAAACTGTGAGCGTAACATACGGACTGAACCTTAATATTAAGAAAACTAAATTCATGGTTTTCAGCCGTACAAATTTAGATCCCGGGGCATTAATGGCAGGTAGCCAAGATATCCAGAGAGTCGACAGATTCACTTACCTCGGAACTACCCTCAACGTACAATGGGACTACGCTCAAGAGATTAGATCCCGAATCGAAATGGCACGGTATACATTTATTAAGTTCAGATCCTTGATGTGCTGCAGTGATCTCAGTTTGGGAACCAAGATGCGGATAGTGAGGTGCTACGTTCTTCCAGTGTTACTATATGGAGTTGAAGCCTGGACACTGACGCAGGCCACTGAAAAACGAATCGAAGCCTTCGAGATGTGGATATACAGAAGGATACTAAAAATATCTTATGTGGACCATGTCACCAACGTTGAGGTCCTACAGCGCATGACAAAAGAAAAAGAAGTGCTTAATTTAATTAAACAACGTAATCTTGAGTACCTCAGCCACGTGATGCAGAACGAAGAAAAATATCGAATTCTTCAACTCGTTATTCAGGGTAAAGTATTTGGCAGAAGAGGATCGGGACGCCGTCGTATCTCGTGGTTGAAAAATCTCCGACAATGGTTTGGGATGACTTCAGCGGAGCTGTTTCGCAGAGCAGTCAACAAAACCATGATAGCCTTGATGATCGCCAAACATCCGGACCGGATAAGGCACTGAAGAAGAAGAATGTCTCTTTTTAATACATGTGAGACATCTGGGACAACTCAAAAAAACCTGTTTTCACATTTAGCGCTTTCTTTTAAAAACGATATCTCAAAATCATTTTCTTTTAATTGAGACAAGATTTTGCCTACATAGTATGTCTTCTGCTTAGAGTTAAATTCAACAAGCAAATCATTACCATTATTGGGACAGCGACAAAAGATTTTCGAAACTAATTGGTTCTGGATCTTTACAAATAAAATCCTCTCCTCCGCTGGAATCTTCTAATTCTATCTCATTTTCAACTAGATCATCAGAATCACTATCTAATACGCGCTTAGTTCCTTTTTTCTGTTTTGGTGTTTTTTCTTTAGATTTAATTATTTACATTTTTTCTGAGGTATCCGTAGCTATCATCGTCTTTCCTTTGCGTTTTTATTGCCTCCCTAGATTTTCTTGTCGGAGCTTAAGGATAACCCTTAAAAACTGTTGGGCTAACAACTATTTTCGTGGTATCAGTATTATTGGACCTGGATTTTCTACATATAAATATTCATTTATATTTTCAGCAGCAACTTCAACTGCAACAAGTAGCCTGTCTGTCATAAATTTGTCAAAAAATCTTCTTCGGTAAAGACATACCCGATCAAATAAAATTATTCTGTTCGATAGTAAAAATTTGTTATACTTTGTAATTGTACGGTTTGTAGACTGTTTGGAAAGATAGTCCTTTCATTTGTACTGCTTGCCGTATAGAGGTGCACCTTGTACTAATTCAATAGCCTGTCTCATGAGATCTTCAGAAAATCTTCCTATTTTCCGATTTGTTTTATTTTTTTTCTTGGCATTTTCTTTCTGTAAGAGAAATTAGTTTGCAAGTGATCTGGCTTAAAAAACTATAATGGAACAGTGAGATAGTAAAGGATTCTAACTGCTCTGTTGTCTCACTGTTTCATAAAAACTCGTTAATAAAAGCCGATTAAAAAAACTAATACAATTGTATACAAAAATCATTTGTTTTAATTTAATTGTCTTGTAAAATGGTTTAATTTTTAGTCTAAATAACTTAACTTGTCTAAAAATCTTTAATTTCCGTGAAAACACGGCCACGTAGATACGGTATATTATATATATATATATATATATATATATATATATATATATATATATATATATATATATATATATTATATATATATATATATATATACTACGACGCAGTTCGAATGATCAGCGATAACTAAAATATTTCTTGTTAAACCTCAACTCAACGGTTTCTTGTTTGCTTCAGTTCAAGGTAGTAATAGACATGTTCGTTTATTTCTACCAGATAATACCGAACATAGTAAGCTCTACCGAATTTGTCTCAGTGTTTCGATCGTCTCACTACCCGTTCCGATCCCTACCGAACGAGAAAACTGACTTCGGAATCCGCTCCAACTGAATAAAGCAGATATGCTCATAAACCGCCTTTCTAAGTAGGAAAAAAATACGCACCTGGATGAAACTGTACGGGCGATATTCTAATGAATACAACCACGACTATGTCGACATTAGAGGGTCGAATTATTCGTTGACATCAGGAAAGATGTTCCCTAAAAGAGAAGTTTCTCTACTCACCATTCAAGCTCAGATTACACCAACCAAAAATTATCCTGAAATATATCGTTAAAGACCTCCAGGTCAAAAATTACAAATATAGTGTAAGTATGATTATCAAAGCCCAAGAAAGATATAACATCTTACCGGGGGTTGCCCAACATTCGCTGCAACTGAATATAAGGAACGTTATGACTCAGTAGGAAACATGCTTTATCAATACACAGCTAAGGAAAATGGGATTTTTCCAAATTAACTATATCCCTTCATAGCAATACGTTCCTGACGGTATACTTAAGAATGATAACTACAGTGTTACATACTAGACTAGAATTATTATTATATTATATCAGCATTTAGAAATCAATATTAGCAGTAAACAGATTGGACTTAGAAAACTACTGGGTGCTATAGAGGCCTCTTTCATTTTGAATATACCTTTTCAAAGATGTTTGGATATATTAAATTAGGAAATCTTAAACTAAAGCAAACAGAAATCTGGATTGTAGATGAGCTTTTGCTACACGCATATCAAAAACCAACGCAACAAACTCTAAACTCCATATTGTAAATGACTTTAATCTTTAGACTTATGATAATCTTTATGGTAAAAAGCACTTATCCAAATTTGGTTATATATGTAGGCTTATTATTCAGAAAAATACTTACAGTATAAATGTTTAAAAATGAACCATCCAGGCGGAGTTAAAATACATTGCGTAATATAAGCAGTATCTACAGGTCTATTTTTAAGACCATTGTGTAAATATTCAAAAAGATATCTTTTGGATATTGTATTCGGCCAAGGATTTGGAAAAGTACGAGAAGGCCACAATAAAGGCTGTCCAAATCGAGATGCATCGGATCTGTAGACGCATATGACCTAAAACATACGTAATTTATTTAAATCATTTTAATATTAGGTATTTATCAAATATTTTACAAGTCATCTTTTAATTAAAGTAAGAAATTGTTAAAAGATACAAGTTAGCAGTGACAGCTAACGGTGACAAGTAAACGTTATATTCGTATAATAGAAAGTTATTAAAGAGGTCTCTTATGTCGTCTTGTAATAAAATCACCTTTATTTTGATATATACACATGCCCAGTACATACACATGAACATATATACATACATATATATATATATATATATATATATATATATAAATATATTATATATATATATATAAATATATATATATATATATATATATATATTTATATATATATATATATATATATATATATATATTATATATATATATATATATATATATATATATATGTCAGAATATTGGCCGGGATGTTAAAAAAAACACTCTTTTGACATTTTGTCGAGCTTTCGGAATGGTTTTATTCCTTTTTCAAGACACTGTAAAAGACAATTATGTAAATATTTAAAAAATATTACAATTCTTCAGTGTAACTTACTAGTCGTTGAGATTATTTTTGTAAGCATTGACACTCAACATTTATACCACACATTAAAATATACAATTATGGACATAATACATCATAAAATTTTTAAAATTTGTTGTAAAAATAGTAAAACTTGGTTGATGGCATGTTTTACTGGTGTATATGAACTCATACAGAGAATGGAAAGAAAAAACAGTATAATTAATATGTAATTAGGTGTAATAGATGTTATCTTTCTTTACAAGAAATACTAGAGTTTACGATACCACTCCGTCCTTAGCATGCCATCATTGCCACGATGGATTAGCATGTCTAAAAAAGGAATCATATTATCAGCCTCTCTCTCAAACGTCAACTTTAGGTGTTCACATTGGGCGTTGAAAGTGTTTAAAACATCAGTTACCTTGTTTTCAGGGACCGATAGAATCAAATCATCTACATAACGTTTAATAAATGGTATGTGAAAAGGTATGTTTTCTTTACACGTTGTTATAAGGTCATCCAAAACAAAATTACATAGTATGGGGGATATTTTACTGCCCATTGGAGTGCCAAAAATTTGTTTAAAAAAAATACCATTGAATAAAAAGATGTTAGAATCAAACATAAATGTAAACAATTGACATTGACACATAACGCATCAATAGTACCATATAAAATAACTTATGGTTGCCTACCCTACATTCCATTTTTGACACCTAAGCTAATGAACATCTTTAAAAATGGCTTAAAAATTACAATCAAAAATGTGAAAACAGTATCGAAGCTTTACACAAAAAACAAAAGATCCTTTCACAATACAGGAGTCATCGAATGTTGTTTATTCTATACCGTGTACTAACTGTAATAAAATTTACATAGGAGAATCATCTCGTAATTTTCACAGCAGGGTGATATCACATCGCAGTGATATAAAAACCAAAAAAATCAATGCATGTGCATTGACAGAAAATGCACTAACTCTAAAACATGAATTCAATTTCGATAATTCCAGTATTTTGGCAAAAGAAAAGAACCATTCAAAACGTGTTTTTTTGGAAATGTGTTTCATAAAATCTAGCACATCTTGCATCAACAAAAAGTCCGACATAGACAAATTAAGTAACATTTATTGTTATTTACTGGAAAAACACCAAAAATAAAATAAATATTTACCTGTACAAAAATTACACCTCGGTATAATATGTTGCATACCATTAAGACAGGTTTAAAAAGTATAGTCACCTAAGATGGGCCTCTAGTATTTCTTGTAAAGAAAGATAACATCAATTACACCTAATTACATATTAATTATAGGTACTGTTTTTTCTTTCCATTCTCTATACACCAGTAAAACATGCCATCAACCAAGTTTTACTATTTTTACAACAAATTTTAAAAATCTTATGATGTATTATGTCCATAATTGTATATTTTAATGTGTGGTATAAATGTTGAGTGTCAATGCTTACAAAAATAATCTTAACGACTAGTAAGTTACACTGAAGAATTGTGATATTTTTTAAATATTTACATAATTGTCTTGTACAGTGTTTTGAAAAAGGAATAAAACCATTCCGAAAGCTCGACAAAAAGTCAAAAGTGTTTTTTTTTTTTAACATCAGAACGTGATCAACAAAAAATATCAGAGTGATCCTGATAACGTGAGCCTGAATCTTCATTATACGGATTCAGTGAAGATCATGTTACCATTTGGTCGTATGTGACAAAAACGAAAAAAAGCGTTAAAAATGCATGACAACGATAATGTCAGTGGCGCAAAAAATAAACCTGATATTTCAGTACTGTAATAAAACTAAAGAAGCGTATCATTCATTTACAATATCCTGGACGTAGTTTGCCTAGCGGCCTATATAATTTATCAAGAGAATAATCCACAGACGGCTACTGAAACCAGTAAGCGTAGAACTTTTCTACAAGACTTAGGGAAACAACTAGTGATGCCTGCAATTTCTGCTAGATCTAAAGTACCAAATGTATACCGAAATTTTTCATCAAGGTCAGGAATTGAATGTGTGTTAAGAAGATCTCCACCTAGAGATTCAAAAAATACATCCGAGTCATTACCTCTGCGAGATTCCACTGGACGCTTCAAAATTGTTAGAAATTGCTACATTTGCATGCCTTCAGCCAAAAAGCGACTAAGAAAGACATTAGTAGTAACATTAGTGTTACCCGGGTGTGGATGTAATGGTGAAAAACTTTGACAGGTATTTTTACTATATCAACTGTATGGAATAAAAGATTACATATATGGATATGGATATGGATAGTGTACAAAAAAAAATATCAGTCTTTTGATTAATAAAAGATTAACTTCAAATAATGAAGCTGGAATAAAAATATTTATACTATCGTAATGATTTACATAAATCAATAATTGCCAAGGATATCGAAGTATCTGGATACACACGCAGAGGTTAAATTTGTAAAATTTTACTTCTACAATACCATGAGTTTGTTTATGTTTAACCAGTTATTATTTTACTTACCTGATACCGATATTGTGTTGTCATGTATTCTAGAGACACATAATTCATATGTTGTGTAAAAGGCAAAAGTTTAGCACCAAATGTTTTGTTAACCATTTGCATCAGTCTATCATGATCACTTTGAGTAAATCCATAAAAATGTTGGAAGTCCAAAATAACTACCTAAAACATAAAATGTTAAAGAATAAAGTAATGTCAACAACTATGTAGAAAAAATATTAAATTTGTATTTTTTTCACAATTTTGTATTGTGTCATAAATGATAACATATTTTCTGACAGAGATATATTTTATTTTTGTATTCATATTTGTATTAATATGGTCCAGTGTCTTTTTCTTCTATAGGTTTACGTATCCTTTTAGCAGGTTGGTAATCAACACGATAATTTTTACTTTTGATACTGCAGCTCTAAATAAATCAATAAAACTGCACTTATACTAATTACGCTTCCGAGTTTCCGTTTTTTTAAAATTTGCAGATAAAATTTTACTATATTACCTACTTATTAATACACAATAATTGACTTTAAGGCTGTTTTATCTGTGCACCAAAATTTTTTCTCTGTTATTTACCGACGAAATGTCTCGAAATTTGGACATGTTATACGAAATTATGTTGTCTTTAAACTGATGGTTTTACTTTTTTTATTTTTTTGAATTTTCTGTTGAAAAATTGGATTATACTGTTTAACGTTCTATTATAACCAAACTTTTCACGCCCATCAGTTGAAAGAGTTTTTTTTTCTGTAATCGTTGATTCTTTTTTCACCTTTCTGTGTCCAGTAATAATCGAGAAAAGCGTATTCAAACTTTGAAGAAAATTGCTAAAAAATACTGAAATCTAATAGTGAAACGTGTTCCTCATCATTGTCGCTGAGCTTGATCGTTATCGCATTAGTGACGTCAAATCACATGAGCGTACGGTACGGTCTTATTTTTATTTCTCTATGGGTACGGTCAGTTAGTTCGCTTGAATTAGAATCCATTTTAGTTCTTTCATTCTTGTATTTTCTTTATCAACTTGCTTAGTTTTTACAGTTTACAGTATTCTTATTTATTTTGAAAACATTGAAATTATTTAGTTTACGTGTATGTTAAGTAATATATTATTAGTTTAGTGATATAAGTTAAAAGTTCTTTAGTTTACGCGTAATTTTAAGTATTACATTAGGTTAGTATTACATAAGTTATAAGAGACAAGATAAAAAATGAAGTAAACGTCTCCAGTAAACGTCCTAGGTCAAGGAAAAGGAGAGCAATTGCACTACAGTAAGTATTTATTATTTATACAGGATGAGTCACAACTATTGGGACATAGACTAAGGACAGGTTAATTGGACCAAAATATGGCTATTGGGTCAAATATGACTTAATAAAATGTTGCTGAGAAAAAAGATACAGGGTGTTAAAGTGGAAATTTAAACCGTTTTTAAAAGCTTTTATTTAACTTAAAAATAATCATTCTCCATTTTCATGCAACTTTTCTAATATGGAGATTATCAAAGAAAAAATGGACGGATTGATAAGTACATTGACTTTTAAATGTCAAATGTGGAATATTGAAAAGGAGATAGCAACATAGGATTCTGGTAACAATTCACTGAACTTGAATGGTTCTGGTTATTCAGACATACAGCAGCAGCACGCTGCATTAAATATACCTGTGATTTCCTACAGGCAGTATGCAAAACATACGGAAACAGTTGCAGATAGCATCGGCCAAACACTTGTGATTCCTTAGAAGAGGCTGGACGGGAGGAATTAGCTTTAGCCAAAGAAATTGGTGAAGTATATTCAGACGGAAATGGGTTAATAACCGTTATAGCTGATGGTGCTTGGTCAAAAAGATCGTATAAAGTAAACTACGATGCTTCTTCGGGTGTAGTACCTGACATTGTAAAATGTATTAAATTAGTACGCCTTTGATGGATAGGACATGTAATTAGGCGAGATGAAGATGAAACGATCAGAAAAATTTTCGACCGAAGAGGACCAGTGGGAAGACGATCCAGAGGTAGACCAAAACTTAGGTATCAAGATAACATAGAGGATGATCTAAAATCCATCGGAGTTAAAGCATGGAGAAAGTTGCCAGAGGCAGGGGCGAATGGAAGATTGTTCTGAAGAAGCCTTTGGCTCATGACGAGCTGAAATGCCACTGATATGATGAAATAACTATCCACGATTTGTGTTTTATTCATCAATTGGATACTTTTCTTATGTAACTGCAACCTATAAATATATTAAAATAATGTATATTCCATTCAGAGAACTTTTTCCTCGCAGTGCGTCGCCTCGAAATACTTGCCAGATAAATACATTTACTATTATGATGGTTTCGCAGGTACCAATTTTTTATAGATAAATAAAAATATTTTTTGTTTAATTTTTACTACGCTAATATCAGTTTTCTCTAACAAATATTAACAAAATATTAATTATATATTAATATTAATATAACAAAATTTAAATTTATTATAAATAAACACCATGGTGTTTTTTGCAGTCACGTTTCACAAATTTTTATTTAATACTATGTTTAGACATATAAATTAAAAATGTGATTAATTCTTTTTAAAACATTATCTACGATAATTAATCTAAAAAAAGTATTCCGACAAAACTAATTTGAATGGAGAATAATGCATTTATTTTAAACAACCCGTGGGCCGGCGCCACTGAATAAACATCCAAACTATTAGGAAGTCACGTAGGGTCTGACATAGCAGTGTAGAAAAGTAAGTGATACGCCCACTTCAAATCGCAGTATGCTATAACTGCGAAAACAGCCTTAAACAGGATTTCAGGACGGTCACGATTGTATTGTATGAATGTCAAAATGATACTAGCACGAATGTTATAAAAAATGAAAATATCTTGAAAATGTTTAGTCTTAGATGAGAAATTTACTTAATATGAAACATTTTAAGGCTGTTTTAGCAGTTCAACCACAATGCGATTTGAAATGGGCGTATCACTTACTTTTCTACACTGCTTACGCGAGACTATCTTTACTCAGTGGTGCCGGCCAACGGGTAGTTTAATGACAACAAGTGCATTACTCTCCATTCCAATTAGTTTTAACACGAAATAACTGACCGTACGTTCATGAGATTTGACGTCACGAAGGAGATAACTGTGAAACTAAGCGACAATGATGAGTAATACGTTTCACTTTTAGATTTTAGTATTTTTTAGCAATTTTCTTCAAAGTTGGAACACGCTTTTCTCGAGTATTACTGGACACAGAAAGGTGAAAAAAAAAACCAACGACTACAGAAATAAAACTGTTTCAAGTGATGGGCGTAAAAAGTTTGGTTATAATAGAACGGTAAACAGTATAATCCAATTTTTCAACAGAAGTTTCAAAAAAATAAAATAAATATAACCATCATTTTAAAAGCAACATAATTTCGAATATTCTGTCCAAATTTCGAGACATTTTGTCGATAAATAACAGTCCCTAGGTTTTGGTGCACCGATAAAACAACCTTAACCCATAAAGGACTGGAGTTGCCATATGACAACACTGGTATTGACGTACGAATCTTATTATTTTGAGGTTATGTTAGTTTGTTTTGTTTCCAAGAACGTGCCGGTCTGCAGAAAATAAGTGATTTAAAGATATACACCTAACAAAAACTTAATTCGTTGGTGTTTGTGAGATTTTATAGTCACCGTTTTTGATAGTTGTAAAAATGGATATAAGATTTGTGTAAGTAGCTCAATTTGTCAATTACTTCTGAATAACTATTACATCTAAGTGGCTAAAGTAACAATTATGCTCTAATAGAAAGGTCATTTTCCCTCTGTGAATATTTGACAACCCTTGAAAAAAAGCGATCTTTTACAATATTTTGTTTTTATTCATCGCGTTGCCATATGGGAACGCTAGTATCTACAAGCATCTTGTTTTTTCAGGCGGGGTTTCTCTCTACAAGAAGCTTTGAACATGGTTTACGAAGATGACGTCAACGTTAGAAATATTTATGTTAAGCCCCCAAATATTGGAGACCTCACTGATGAAGATTCTGGCGAGAAGGATGGGGGAGGATTCATCGACAATCTGTCTAGAAAACAGCTGGAAGCAAATGTTGAGGTGCAAATGTATGGCGAAGAAGCATACAAGAAGATGTAGTTCAAGCGATGGATATTTCCCAGGAAAGCAGCGGAAGTTTCATCCCACAAACTATCTCTCAAGTGAAGAAAATTGAATACGAGTCCCTAAATTGGATAACGGGTGATTTGGTCGACAATGCCGCTAGTTTCCCAGAATATAGCTACGAACCATTCAATACGTTGACACCTGTCGAGATGTTCAAATTATTTTTCGACGAGAATATAATTAATTACATTCTCAACCAATGCACGAGTTATGCACTACAGAACAACTTTCCCGACCCCAAAATTTCCGCAGGAGAAATGAGGTGTTTCTTTGCCATTTTGATTCTATCGGGGTATAATTGGCTCCCAAGAAAAAAATTTTACTGGGATACGAAAGGCGATATGGGTAATGCAATGGTCATGAACGCTATGCGAAGAGATCGGTTCCTTACAATTTGGCGTTTTTTCCACCTTGCAAATAATGAAGCCATCGATGAAAGGGACAAATATTACAAGATCAGACCCTTAGCTGACTATTTACAGAAAAAATATAAAGAATATTACGTCCCTGAAGGCGAATTAAATTACGACGAATCTATAGTGAAATACTTTGGACGCCACTCATGTAAACAGTTCATAAAAGGAAAGCCGATTCGTTTCGGATACAAAGTTTGGTGCCTCAACACTAAAAGTGGGTATCTTGTAAGCTTCAACATGTACCAAGGAACCGATCCCAAAGCAAATAATCATTATTATAAAGTTTTTGAAGCATGTGCGGCGCCATTCGTCACAATGCTCGATGAACTGCCTAATGATAAATCAAGATTACCTTACAAATTTGTCTGCGACAATTTATTTACGAGCCTCCACCTTTTGAAACATATAAAGGATCGTGGCTATAGCCTTACCGGAACAATACGCATTCCCAAAAACTGCACTATAGAATCGAAAGCTAATATGCAGAATCGCAAAAGGGGTGATGTAGAGTCGATTCTCGAGAGAGAAACTGGTATTATAGTTGTAAGATGGTTGGATAACAGGGTCGTAAGTGTAGCGTC